CCACCGCCAGCGCCACCGCCACCGCCAGCGCCACCGCCACGCGGAGATCCCGGAGGTTCCTCCCCGCCGGCCGCCGGGTCACGCCGCCCGTCCCTCCCCTCGGCCCTCCGCCCTCCGCCCTCCGCGCGCGCTGGGCTTTCCCGTCCACCGGCCGAATCCCCTCCTCCTCCGGGCGACCCGGCGACAAAACCTTCCCCGCACGTTCCGCCAACTCTGCCCCACGCCCAGGCTGTTCCCAAACCAGGCGCCAGACAAAAGAATCGAGAGAAAAACTTACCCGAACTGCAACGCAAAAGTCTGATCCAAAGCTTCCTGGGTTTAACTTTTCATTTTAAAAACAACAAAAGCAGAAAGCAAAAGCCTCCGAGGTTGGAAGTGGGCGTGAGAGGAAATGCGAGGGGGAGGCGCTTCGTCCCCTCGCCGGCGTGGGCCCCCCCGCCTGGCCCCTGCCTGGGGCTTTGATATTATCTGGTGCACCGCCTACGTCGCCTGCTACCTTGGGCTCTGCGCCGGGGTGATGGACGGATATTCCGCCCTGTGTCCCGACTGGGAGAGCGAGGCAGGTGGTCGCTGAACGCTCCCCACTTCTTACCCCAGCACCCCGATGAGAACCGTGCGTTCGCAGGGGCTTCCCTTTGCCACCTGCACCGAAATGAACCGCCCCCCTTTCCAGCGAGCTGGGAGAGTTGGGCCAGGTGGCATTTCCTGTTAGTCACATAGAAGGAGGCCTCCCAAATTAGATTCCTCTTCTCTCCGCTAGTAGCACAAACTTGTAATATGGTCGTGGTGTATGTGTTCTGAGGCTTTGTTCGGGTTTGGGATCTCGGTTTGGAAAGTAACTGTAGTTTCCTTTCTGAGGGAGTCTTGCAGCCTGGAAGAGTCGAGAACATACCTCTGGAGACACCAAACCGAGCCATAGCATGCCTTACCTACACCTTAGGTTCCCCTAGGGGCCCAAATATCCGTACACCCTCCCCCTTGCCTTGTGGAAGGTTTGTAACTGTTGATTTTATCTTGTTTATCTGGACACCAGCAGAAGCCAAATGCACATTCACATTAGGTTAGCAGCCTATAGGATCATTACTACCAAGCACTAGCAGTGGATTTCTTTTCTTTTTTTTTATTTTTTAAACAAATTAGTAATAGAGGGGCCGGCAGGTGGCATGGTGGTTAAGGATACTGGACTCCCACATGGCCAGCCGCAGTGGAGTCCCGGACCTGGCACCTTGCTTTCTCACTCTCCCTCGCTCTCTCTCTTGCTCTGTTCCTCTCTGGTCACGTTAAAATAAATAAATAAAGTTAAATAAAATAAATCTTTTTTAAAAATTAGTTGAGACCAGCAGTTGGCATCATGGCTATGTTGCTGGACTCCCACGTAGTCAGCCACAGTTCGAGACCTAGATGCGGTGGCTTAAACACACACCGGGTGTGTGTGCGTGTGTGCCCAAGATCCCAAGAGAAGAATAGAGGAGAGGGGATTGCAGAGTGGTCATCCCCCATAGGGGGCGATTCCTCAGTTTGTGTTTCTCTGTCTCTTTCTGGCGAGTGCACGCACCCTATAGCAAAAACCTCTCCAAAAACAAAAATAATTAGTAATAGGAGCTGACTCCATCTCCCAGTCAACCTTACCTGACCATCCACTTCATGTCAACACCAGCCAGTGTTCAGGCCTTGCCCTCTGGGAGTTTACAAATTAATGGAGACAGGATAAACACATGGAAAAATACCTAGAGGGGAATAAAATGAAGATACATGACACTTATAAAGTCAATTAAAGTTGCGCAGAGTTATTTACATGATTGCTAAGAGGTTTCTGCTTAGGTGGAGATTATCAGAGAAAGTTCCATCCTGAGAGGGAGTTAGCTCAGAGCGGGAACTCGAAGAGGAGAAAGTGCAGCATTTGGCAATAGTCCCTGAACAGCATTCCAGGGGAGGCACCCAGCTTGGAGGTGAGAGCTAAGGGAACGGTGTGCCATGTGTTTTTCTGCCTGGAACAGAAAGGCTGCACAAATGTGAAACAAGGAACACCCAGAGCAAGACACTTCTGATAGTGAAAGGGAAGCTATTCATAGTTACACCCAGATTGGGAGACACGCACCTGGGTTGTCCCCAGCAAAGGGGAAGAGTGGGTCCTCCAGAGACGAGTTATGACACAGAAGGGACAGTTGGGGCAGAAAAGAGCCTACTCAGTCATCATTTGGAAAAAGGGAAGACCTGACCCTGCAAACAGTTGGTAGTCATTTAGAGACGTCTGGACTGCGCGTGGTCTTTTTAAGGAAAGTTATTGTCGTTGGTGGATTTAGGACAGGTAGGGAGGCAGATTACAGAAGCTGCGCTAGAATATATACTAGCAGGATGGGAAATAGTGCTGGGTGACTGATGGTTATTGGGAGCGTGCGACTTGTTCCTTCTGAACTCATTGACTCCCCGCCACAAACCCATCCTACAGATGAAGAAACAGACTCTTGGCAGAATCATCTTCCTGAAGCCACAGGCCAAGCAGCTGCGTGAGGGAAAACGGAAAACATTCAGATGCCTAACGATTGCATTTTGTGCAAAACAGACTTCGATAATTTTGTAGAGTTCTAACTCTGTGAGGCAGAGAAGAAAAAGGGATATTTTTTAAGTCTGCAGGTCCAAATTGTGAGAACTTGGTAGCTTGTATTATGAAAGTGGGGTTGTAGGGTTAGTGTAATGCCAAAGGAGAAGAGAAAGAGAAACTTCTTTTTTTTTTTTTTGAGAGAAAGAGAGAGTGATTTTTGCTACAGGGCATATGTGCTCACCGGAGTGACAGAGAGCGAGACAGTGAAACAGCAAGAAACCACACACACAGGCACACACACACACACACACACACACAGCCCCATGGAGAATGACCGTGCTGCAACCCCTTCTCTTCCAGGGATTTGGGATATGCACAAACACACTTGCGCATGCACACGCGCACACACACACACACACACACACACACAGCCCCCTGGAGAATGACCACGCTGCAACCCCTTCTCTTCCATTCTCTTCCTGAGATTTGGGATATGCACAAACACACACACACATGCACACGCACACACACACACGCCTGGCATAAGTTTCAAGCCCCTAGGTCCAGGACTCAAACCATGGTCGACCACGTGGGTGTCCAGCGCCTTAACCACTACACCACCTGCTGGCCCCTGAGAACCCATCTTTAATTTTAACCAGGTCTAGTTGTTAGAAGGGTTGGCGTTGTTAACCTTACAGGATGTACAGCTAATGGGAGCCTGGTCTCTAACTTCATCGAAAAGCAAGTAATAGTGGTCTAATGGGCATTATTTGGTGTACTACTGCTAAAAAGGGGAAAGAAGACTGGATGTGATTGATACAAGTCGGTACTTACAGTTTCTACAAAGGATTTATCTGATGCAATGTCCACAAATAACACACTGAAGAACCCTAGAAAGAGGAGGGTGGTGTTCAGAGAAACAATCCAACCTCTATGCCTGACCTAATAGTGTGGAAACAAGGAAACAACCAACCTAAGATGCTCTGAAATTAGCTCAGGTCACACAACAAAACAAACAAACCTGGCCTCAGGGGCTTAAGCAACAGACACTTATTTCCTCACACTCATGGAGGCTGGAAGCCCACGATCAGGTTTCTGACCAATTCCATTTTTGGCAAAGTCTCTCTCCGGTCTGGAGATGGCCACTGTCTCAAAGGCCCTCACCTGGCCTTTCTTAGAGGAAGGGATGAGACAGAGAGAGAGAGAGAATCAGGGTCTCTTCTTATAATCCTAGAGGACCAGGGCCCTATCTCCATGAACTCATTTAACCTTCATTGTCTCCCAAAGACCCTTTCTCAGGGCCAGCAGGTGGCGTGGTGATTGAGGGCACTGGATTCCCCATTGCCTACCGCGGTTTAAGTCCCAGGCCTGGAGGCTTGCTTTCTCTCTCTCTCTCTCTGTTCCTCTCTGATCAAATTAAATTAAAATTAATTAATTAATTTAAAAAATATCTTCAGAAGCAGTTACAGTGAAGGGCAGAGCTTCAACACGAATGGAGTGGGGAGTGGACACAGTTCAGTGCAGAGCAGATACCATGGAACTGCAGGCTGAGTTCATGCCAACCTAGGAAAGAGACTTTTCGGGTGTTTGAGAAGGACCCAAAGGATTTCGTTCCGGGAAGTCTCTTTTCCAGGAAACTTACTCTTCTAAATAACTCTTCAAACATTGTGTATCCCCCACTCTTTGAAATTCCTAATAAAATAGTTTTTAAAACTCTTGCAGAGAACCACATAGGTATACACATTTACTATGCTACAAATAGTCATTTTATTGACTGCTCAAGAATTTAGGACCTCATTTTCCCCATAATATTTACAACCTGCACATACGTAAATTAAACATTATCTATTTTATCTAAAATGTGAGTATCCTTCCTATGACTCTGCTTTTCCTTCTTTTTTAAATTTTCCAGAGGGCACATGCACTCCAGAGGGAGAGAAAGGCAAAGCGAGGAAACACTCCCATTGTGAGGGACAGCCATGCCATGATCCCTTTTTCATCTCTCCCTCCTGTAGGATTTTGGGCACACACTCTTGGTGTGTTTTTCGCATTGAACTGTGCAGTCAGCCATGAGGGACCCAGCTGCCTTCACCACCACAATACTAGCTTCCTCTCCACCAACCCTGTACTCTTTCTTATCATTCCAATACTTCGCTTTATGACATCTGAAATTCTGGGATTCTTTTATTGGCTTCCATGTTACCTCTCAGCCCTCAACTCGCACATGAAGGCAGTGAGTGAAGGGGTCCCCCAGTACCTAGAACAGTGTCCAAGTCCATGTTTGCTGAATTAATGCTCCCGTCTGTGTACCACTCACTTCCCAGTTTGGTTCCTGAACGTTTCATGCCCATTTAATTGTTTTCTTGTTTTTATCTTTATCTTTACACATCTATTGTTTTTTTTCTGGATTCACAGTTAACTAACAGCTAAGTGGGGGGGGGGGAGGTCTGCTCATGTGACAGGCTGAAAGGCTGGAGTGCGAGTGGTCACATGTATCTCAGGATGTCACCAGCTCGCGGTTGGCGCAACTTGACTGGACAACTCCCTGTCCATCTTTCTTCCGCCTTAGTTCCTGCTCACACATGCTTTTCCCTTTATACCCTGCCCTGATTCTTACCAGCAACTCTCCTGTTTTTTGCTTGCTCTTATTCTTCACTCCTAGATTTCAAAAAAAAAAAAAAAAGAAAGAAAGAAAGAAAGAAAGAAAGGAAGGGTCTCCTCTGGTGAAGTTTTCATGGTATAGGCATTTTGCCAAGTGGGAAGGAAGAAAAAGGAGAAGGGAAGGAAACATACAGATTTATATAAATGTGGTATAATAAGGGTTAAAAAAGTGATTTATGGGGGCCAGCAGCTGGTATAGTAGTTACGACGTTAGACTCCCACATTGCTGACCATGGTTTGAGTCCCAGACCAGGAGACTTGAAACTTACACCGGATGCATGTGTGTGCATGCCCCAAATCCCAGGAGAATGAAGGAGAAGGGATTATGGCATGGCTATTTCCCCGGGGTATGATTTCTCGCTTTCTGTTTCTCTCTCTCTCTCTTTCTCTCTCTCTGACGAGAGAGAAATTTTGGTATAGGGTGCATGTGCTCACTGGAGAGATGAAGAGAAAATGAGAAATGACTCCCCAGGGGAGATGACCACACCATAATCCCTTCTCTATTCTCTCATGATTTGGGGCACACACACACATGCACCCAAAGTGAGTTTCAAGCTGCCAGATCCAGGACTCAACCCATGGACGGCCATGTGGGAGTCTAGTACCTTAACCACTACACTACCTTCTAGACCCCATCAGGCATGTTCTTAATAAGGAATAAAGAGCAAAAACCAACTTCTTAGCAATACTCCTCCTGCCCTGGAGAGAAGTCGCCACTCAAAGTCTACTACAGACACACATCATGAAGCGTTCATGGAGAGGCAGAGAAAGATCAGAAGCAGGGCTTGGGGGTCATCAAACCTGGGAGGAAGCCTAGCCCTGCCAGTGACACAACTAGGGACACTTTGTTTGACCTTCCTGTGTCCTAGTTTTCTCATCTGTAAAGCGAATGTAATTGGGGTTTTCTTTTTTGGGGGAGAAGATTTTGCTATAGGGTGTGTGTGCTTGCCAGAAAGACAGAGAGACAGAGAGAGACAGAAAGTGAGAAATCACCCCCTAGGGGGAATGGCCACACCGTAATCCCTTCTCCTCCATTCTCCTCCTGGGATCTTGGGTACACGTCATGCTAACACGCCCAGCATGATGTTTAAGCCACCAGGTCTGGGACTCGAACCATGGTCAACTACACAGAAGTCCAGTGACATAGTCATTACCCCAATCACTGGTCCCAATCAGGGTTTTCATAGAACTATGATGACAATTACATGAGCGGGTATTGTTTTCTTCTTTTGTAAAGTTCATTTATTTATCTTCTCCATGGCGGTGGGGGGAGCAGAAGATAGAGACAGGTGCCCCCAAGGGGGTCTTCAAGCCATGGTCCACCCCAACCTCAGCTAGCCAGAATCATAGGCACACACGTGTGCACCTGCCATGTGCAGGGAGACCTCAGGATATGAACTCAAGGCCTTCCCATGTGGCCCCAGCTTCATGGTCACTGTGAGTGCTACACCGCTGTGGCTGGCCAGGGTGAGCTGATATTTCTAAAGAGCTTAAGACAGTGCCTATCACGTAACTGCATCTCTTGAGTGTTGGCCAATGGCTTATCACATGCCCAACGCTCTAGTAGAGTGTGCCTTTTAAACCTTGAAATAAGTCTCTGGAGGCTTCTTCGGGGGTGACCTGCTGACTTCACATAACATGGGATCCTGGATGAGATCATGGGATAGACTGAGGACACTCGTGGGAAAACCAGTGACTCCCAAATAAAGTCTGAACTTCAAGTAAGAGTAATGCGCCAATGTCAGTTTCTTTTTTCTTTTCTTTTCTTTTCTTTTCCTTTCTTTTTTTTTTTTTTTTTTTTTTTTTTTTTTTTTTTTTTTTTTTTTTTTACTAAATATAAGAATTTAATGATTAAATAAACACTGAGAGTATATGGAAACCCTCTGTACACTCGTTGCAAATTTTCTATAAATTTTAAATTATTAGTTTATTTATTTTACGCTATGAGGTGTGTGGAGATGGAAAGAGAGGGAAAGTGAGAAAGCACCCCCCAGGAGAATGACCGTGCTACAATCCCTTCTCCTTCAGGGATTTTGATCACACATGCACACATCCCCTGAGTGTTTTTCAAGCCATTAGGTCCAAGACTCCAACCAAGCCGTCAGCCATGTGGGACCCAGCTGCCTTAACTCCATACCATCTGCTGACCTAAACTTATCCTTAACTAAAGCATAATTCGAAATAAATAACATGCTGCTCCAGGACTGTTGTTATTTGTGTTTTATTGATTAAGGAGTTCAGAAAATATGTCCAAGGTACTACCAGACTGGGCCTCATAGGGCCTCTGTCTGTCGGAAGAAGAGACCATATTGCAAACCCCTGGACCACGCTCCCTCCCAGGACCCCCGAGCTTTCCTTTGCGTTCTCATCTGCCGCAGGATAGGATCTGAGGAAGCAGAGGACCCAAACACAGTTCTGAAGTAGACAGTGTTTTACTCCCATCTTCTTTGAGATTTAATTCCCTGAGGCCCGCAGGTGGTATAGTGGCAAAGGCGCTGGACTCCCACGGGGTTGATCATGGTTCAAGTCCCAAACCTGGCAGCTTGAAATTCATGCTGGGTGCATGTGCGTTTGTGCCCAAAATCCTAAGAGGAGAATAGAGGAGAAGGGATTGTGATATGGTCAACCCCACTTGAGGGTTATTTCTTACTTTCAGTTTGGTAAGCACCATGCACCCTATAGCAGAGATCTTTTAAAAAGAGAGAGAGAGAGATTTAATTCTCACCTTGATGGCATCTCTAATAGAACCTGATTTTAGGTTTGAAAAGTTTATATATAGGGGCCAGCAGGTGGTAAGGTGGTTAAGGGTGCTGGACTCCCATGTGACTGACCATGGTTTGAGTCCTGGACCTGGTGATTTGCTTTCTCACTTTCCCTTTCTCTCTCTCTCACTCTGTCTCTCTCTGATCAAATTAAAATAAATAAATAAATAAATAATGTTAAATAAAATAATTATTTTTAAAAGTTTATATATAGGGATTAGCATTTAGCATAATGGCTATGTCACTGAAATCCCATGTAGTCGACCACGGTTCAAGCCCCGGACCCAGTGGCTAAAACTCACGCTGGGTGCATGTGCGTGCATGCCCAAGATCCCAAGAGGAGAATGGAAGAGAAGGGATTGTGAC